AAGTGTGTATTCACCTCTGAAGCAGTTCGAAAACAGAGCTATGAAATATCCAAAGGAAGCGTCAAGCCGATGCTCTTCTCAAAATGTCTCCTTTCACGAATATGAAGGCACAACAAAGAGTTGTAGGAATGTTCTCATAATAGTCCCAGTGGTTCACCCATTTTTCGGAAAAGATTCGCCCGATAATTACAAACAAAATCTTCCCTCCTCCTGAAGAAGTATCTCTCCTCATAAAGCATCGAGATCCGAGCCCATTCGGGTATCACTGGTTGCAGTTGATAAAGACATACCGCTAGTGGTCAAAATCGATGGTTCCGATATAGCGTTCTCTGCTACACTCCATCAATGTGGTTGCGTCGTAGCTTTCTTCGCGTACCTTGTCACCCTTAGAGCGAAACCATTCAGCTGTGAAGAAGCCGACGCAATAGTTGAAGCCATTCGAAGGTGGCGGGATTATGTGCTGCGTGTCCACTTCAAACTGGCTACTGAACGACGCTCTATCGCCTTTATGTACGATATGAAAGTCGGCAGCAACATTACTGAAATAAAACATTTTACATCGGAACAGCCTAAAATGCTATGGAGCCAAACGTTCAGTAGAGAAGATGAAGGGAGAGAGTTGGAGGTTAAAACATCAGGAAAAGGTTGAGATATTACAACAGTTACCCATTCATCACTAGGGACCATACGCATTCCTGAAATTCCTGTAACGACTGGCCTCGAATGGAATTCTCGTTCTATGCTCAGGAGAGCAGAGCCGTATGCTACCGAGCGCGTCCCCAGCTCGCGGATAGGGGAACGGCCCTCATCTCGCGGCTAACCGTGAATAAGGCGGGTTTGGTCCTTCCAATAAGCGGACGATCAGCGGCAGTGCTCGAGTATGTGGCGGGTTTACCATCTGGCAAGGGTTCTCCGCACAAAACACCACAAATATCTGTGGACAGCGCTGTGAAGTGGTGAGTGTGGCCCGCCACTTAATATGGCCATTGCCCCTTGACGAGATCCATTGCCCGACAAGGTTTTCCAGAAGAGGCGAATGAACCGAAAATAGGCCACCGGCTCATCTGGAACATCACTGCTGCCTTGCAGTTAGCGTTTGGTTGCGCAAAGGCTAAAGGGCATCCTCGAACAAGGCCTACTCTGAACTGGGCGCCCGAGTAGTACGATAGCCCGCAACACACACAACTATGAACGTTCTTGCTCTCATGAATTCGCACTCTGAACCTTCCACAATCGAAAGACATTCTCCCAGCCTCCCCCCACCTCACCTCTCCTCCATCTTTCTCTGGTACTTCAGACGATCGTACTAACAGTAGTGCCTCGGGGAGGGGGATTCCGCCGCTGTTCGCTCTTGTCCTACCTCGATTAGCATCCAAATCTCACCGAATCCTCCACCAGCTGAAGCCCTTCTCCGCCCTCGATGTCCTTTTAAACTAGCAACGTTCAATGTGCGTGCTCTGATGTGCATAGGACAACAGACATGTTTAGCTCATAGGCTCAAAACCCTAGCCCTCGATGTGTGTTACATCCAAGAAACTAGTATTCAAGACTCCAGCTCCATTATCCAATTGGCGTTCCCATATGACCGATCTGTGAGGATTCATTTACGTCTCTTACGCACCCCGAGACTGCGGCTATCGGTCTTGCTGTCGTCGGCGTGGCTCTCAGTGAGACGCTCCAACTGCCGGTACGCCACTTGGCGTCCGCCCTCCTCGAGTCAGAGATGGACGCAGATCAATCACATTGGGATAAGCCACAAATGGCGGGGTTGTATACAAGATTGCCGATCGTACTGGAGTACTTCCCTGAAATCCAAACACGCGGTAGTTTGCGCCGAGCTGTCCATGTGCTTCCAAACGTTCCAAACGCAGGACACAACGACGGTTAGACTGTGATAAGCTGTCCAAACCGGCCTCTATAACTATCTTCCAAAACGCGCTAGCTGAAAAGCTAGAACCAATCACACCCGATGA